TGAAAGAGGCTGAAGATACCAGATGCAATAGCGTCAAAAACAAATGTCAAGAGACCTACCAGAGTGACCAGAAAGAGACCAGAGACCAGACAGAGACCAGAGAGACCAGACAGAGACCAGACAGAGACCACAGAGAGACCAGAGAGAGACACCACAGAGAGACCAGAGAGAGAGAGACCAGAGAGAGACCAGAGCAAGACCATAGAGACCAGAGAGAGAGACCAGAGAAAAACAACAGTCAAACAAAGTCAACGATTGGATTTAATAAATCCAGAGCTTCACAACAAGGTATAACATGTCTACGTTGGCACAGCTGAAGTTGGCTGGATGACACTTTGCTCAGAAACCAAGGAACAATAAACATGAGTCCAGAGGGCCATAAAACATGACAATGACTGACGTTCCTGGTCTATGGTCCCGATACTGACGGTCATTTGGATTCCTGTTTATTGAGATTAGATGAGAATCCAAGTGATATTTTCTCAGACTGATATTGTTCATAAAGTACAGAACAAAAGTTTGGACACACCTTCTCATTCAAAGAGTTTATATTCACACTGAGGGCATCAAACCTACGAATGAACTCATGTGAATTATGTCCGTAGTAAAAAAGTATGAACCAAGTGTAAATATGTGTTATATTCTGGTTCTTCAAAGTAGCTCCTTTTGCTCTGATACTGCTTCACTCTTGGCATTCTCTGGATGAGCTTCAACAGGACCTGAAATGGTCTCCAACAGTCTGGAAGGAGTTCCCATGATGCTTAGCACTTGTTGGCCCCTTCACTCTGTGGTCCAGCCCCAAAACCATCTGGACTGGGTTCAGGTCCAAAACCATCTGGACTGGGTTCAGGTCCGGTCTCTCTCCTTATTGGTCAAACAGCCCTTTCACAGCCTGGTGCGGGTCTACAGCAATAGTCATGAAAAGAACTCAGTGAAGGAGCAGGGTGTCGAGACTTTTGATCTGTACTGTATATATTTTGGTATTGATTCCAAGGTTATTTTTTCAGCTCATCTCCCTGTATTGAAATAATTACTCTTTTCTCAAGTCTGTAAAGAATCTGTTTTCAAACTAATGTGGTTTACGAGAGTAAACCGTCTAAATCTGCAATAACCTGTTCCTCATGAGAGTTCCTCAAAGCCTCAGACCGTTCCCTCTGCTTCTGCTCAAGATTCACCGTAACTTTCCAAACAGGAAGAGTTACTAATGTTTTAGTTAACCAACAAGGAAACGCACATGGCAATAACTTTGGTCTCCTCATGACAACAACAGCAGCAGCAGCAGCAGTATAACAGCAGTAGTATAACAGCAGCAACAGTAAGCAGCAGCAGTATAACAGCAGTAACAGCAGCAGCAGTAACAGCAGTAACAACAGCAGCAGTAAGCAGCAGTATAAGCAGCAGTAAGCAGCAGTATAAGCAGCAGTATAAGCAGCAGTAAGCAGCAGTAAGCAGCAGCAGTAAGCAGCAGTATAAGCAGCAGTAAGCAGCAGTATAAGCAGCAGTATAAGCAGCAGTATAAGCAGCAGTATAAGCAGCAGTATAAGCAGCAGTATAAGCAGCAGTATAAGCAGCAGTATAAGCAGCAGTATAAGCAGCAGTAAGCAGCAGTATAAGCAGCAGTATAAGCAGCAGTATAAGCAGCAGTATAAGCAGCAGTAAGCAGCAGTATAAGCAGCAGTATAAGCAGCAGTCATTCTGTGTTTGAGGATGGCATTAAAAGTGTTTGTCAGGTCTTTTGGAGCTGCCCACAAAGTCAATAAACTCGTCCCTCAATGTCTCGGGTGACAAAACACACAGGACACACAGGACACACACAGGACACACAAGACACACAAGACACACAAGACACACAAGACACACAAGACACACAGGACACACAGGACACACAGGACACACAGGACAAACAGGACACACAGGACACACAGGACACACAAGACAAACAGGACACACAGGACACACAAAACACGCAGGACACACAAAACACGCAGGACACACACAGGACACACAGGACACACAAGACACAGGAGAAACTAACACACTGAGACAGTCACAGACACAGAGACAGACACAGAGACAGAGCCAGACACAGAGACAGACACAAACAGACACAGACACAGAGACAGACACAGAGACAGACACAGAGACAGACACAGAGACAGACACAGAGACAGACACAGAGACGGACACAGAGACAGACACAGAGACAGACACAGAGACAGACACAGACACAGAGACAGACACAGAGACAGACACAGACAGACACAGACACAGACACAGAGACAGACACAGACAGACATAGACACAGAGACAGACACAGAGACAGACAGACACAGACACAGAGACAGACAGACAGAGACACAGACACAGACAGACACAGAGACAGACACAGAGACAGAGACAGACACAGAGACAGAGACAGAGACAGACACAGGCACAGACACAGAGACAGACACAGAGACAGACAGACACAGAGACAGACAGACACAGACACAGAGACAGACACAGAGACAGACACAGAGACAGACACAGAGACAGACACAGAGACAGACACAGAGACGGACACAGAGACAGACACAGAGACAGACACAGAGACAGACACAGACAGACACAGACACAGAGACAGACACAGAGACAGACACAGACAGACACAGACACAGACACAGAGACAGACACAGACACAGACAGACATAGACACAGAGACAGACACAGAGACAGACACAGAGACAGACAGACACAGACACAGAGACAGACAGACAGAGACACAGACACAGACAGACACAGAGACAGACACAGAGACAGAGACAGACACAGAGACAGAGACAGAGACAGACACAGGCACAGACACAGAGACAGACACAGAGACAGACAGACACAGAGACAGACAGACACAGACACAGAGACAGACACAGAGACAGACACAGACACAGAGACAGACACAGACAGACAGAGACAGACAGACACAGACACAGACACAGACAGACACAGAGACAGACACAGACACAGACAGAGACAGACACAGAGACAGACACAGACACAGAGACAGACACAGAGACAGACACAGACAGACACAGAGACAGACACAGACACAGAGACAGACACAGACACAGACACAGACAGACACAGAGACAGACACAGAGACAGACACAGAGACAGACACAGACAGACAGAGACACAGACAGACACAGAGACAGACAGACACAGACACAGACAGACACAGAGACAGACACAGACAGACACAGACAGACACAGACACAGACACAGAGACAGACACAGACACAGAGACAGACACAGACAGAGACAGACACAGAGACAGACACAGAGACAGAGACAGAGACAGACACAGACACAGAGACAGACAGAGACAGACACAGACACAGACACAGACACAGACACAGAGACAGAGACAGACACAGAGACAGACACAGAGACAGACACAGACACAGAGACAGACAGAGACAGACACAGACACAGACACAGACACAGAGACAGACAGACAGACACAGACACAGACACAGACACAGAGACAGAGACAGACACAGACACAGAGACAGAGACAGAGACAGACACAGAGACAGACACAGACACAGAGACAGACACAGAGAGACATTAAATGAACTGAAACACTGGAGACAGACTCTTACTGAATGTAAAAGGTTCCTTTTAGTGAGACTTTAAGAATACTTTGTCTTCAGATGATATTTATCGATGGACTCAGACCTTTTCATTTCTTCTGGTTTGAAACAGGAAAGACGCAGATATTTTTTACCAAGAAATTATGACGACATTTTTATACATATTTCAGTGGTTTTAATGTTCAAAGTATTCTTACAATTAAACTAAATTAAACCTTTTACAATGTTTCAAACTTACAAACTAACTGCTAAATGAAACCAGGAAATGTTGAAATAACAAATGTTTACGGATTATTGACAGTATTTTATATTTGTCCTTTTTCCATCACATGTGATGAAGACTTTATAAAAATCAAACCTGATTTTTCCTCTTTCCTAGTTTGACTTTGCATCAGCGGCAAATGTTTATTGTATTCAAATGACTGAAGTAAACTGAACCTCAGGCTCAGGTTAAGACACAACAATCATTTGGTAAAAGGCAGTTTATGGTCATCTGTACAAAGCAGACTAAACATTTGTTGACCAAATGTTATTAAAGTTGCACCTGATTTTATTTGATTTGATTTGATTCTACATTTTGTTTGTCCCAACAGAAAGGTTTAGTGACGTTTTTCAGAATGACTCAGTTCACAACAAGCTGTATTTATCTTATTAGAAACCATTTTATCTTTTATACTGAGAGCTCGAAGGAATCGCTTTAGGATCTAACCATGTGTCACAGACCATGTGTCACAGACCATGTGTCACAGACCATGTGTCACAGACCATGTGTCACAGACCATGTGTCACAGTGAATGAAAAGTAACGTTGCAGCGGATGATAAAAATATCGTTACGTTACTGTAGTCCATACAAAGGAAAGTACTGAACTGTGCAGGTTTCGTTCTTTTTTCAAGTGAATGAAGAACAGATGATGAGAAACTTTCCTTTGCTTTGATAATCTGTGACTGAGCTTTAAACACAAACTACAGTCACGTTAACACAGTTAGACCCAAACCTGCTCATGATAGAGTTTACACAGTTAGATTTATGTGGTTTTAAAGTGACCCCAGCTTTAAAGAGTTCACAATATTATAAACAAAGTTTATCTCTGACCTACAGAAAGCATCACATTTAACCTTTTCCCACAGACGTTTCTAACGGTGACCGTTGAACCTAAATGTCTCCCTGCAGCCCGTGCGGTCCTCCCGCAGAGGATCATGGATCATGGACCTCTGAGGAGGATCATGGACCTCTGAGGAGGATCATGGATCATGGACCTCTGAGGAGGATCATGGATCTGAGGAGGATCATGGACCTCTGAGGAGGATCATGGATCATGGACCTCTGAGGAGGATCATGGAGGATGGATCATGGAGGATGTACTCACCGTACTCGGACTCAGACTCAGACTCGGCCTCGGACTTGGACTGTTTCTTGCCCATGTCCCCGCCCTGGTCCGCGCTAAAAACCGTTTAAAAACCTCCACAAAAGAAAGATAAAAGTCTGGAGTGGTTAAAAAGGAGGCTCCGTCAGAGGAGGCGCAGACAGAGAAGTCAGAGGAGGCTCGGGCCGTTGGGAAAGTTGCTGTAACTAAGAAGAAATCTTTCCTCCTGACAACACCTGCGCAGAGAGCGTGTGTGTGTGGGCAGGAGGCCTCACTCTGACAACACCTGTAACTGCACCTGCGCAGAGAGCGTGTGTGTGTGGGCAGGAGGCCTCACTCTGACAACACCTGTAACTGCACCTGCGCAGAGAGCGTGTGTGGGCAGGACGCCTTACTCTGACAACACCTGTAACTGCACCTGTACAGAGAGCGTGTGTGGACAGGAGGCCTCACTCTGACAACACCTGTAACTGCACCTGTACAGAGAGCGTGTGTGGACAGGACGCCTTACTCTGACAACACCTGTAACTGCACCTGCACAGAGAGCGTGTGTGGACAGGAGGCCTCACTCTGACAACACCTGTAACTGCACCTGTACAGAGAGCGTGTGTGGACAGGACGCCTCACTCTGACAACACCTGTAACTGCACCTGCACAGAGAGCGTGTGTGGACAGGAGGCCTCACTCTGACAACACCTGTAACTGCACCTGTACAGAGAGCGTGTGTGGACAGGAGGCATCACTCTGACAACACCCGTAACTGCACCTGTACAGAGAGCGTGTGTGGACAGGAGGCCTCACTGACAACACCTGTAACTGCACCTGCACAGAGAGCGTGTGTGGACAGGAGGCCTCACTGACAACACCTGTAACTGCACCTGCACAGAGAGCGTGTGTGGACAGGACGCCTTACTCTGACAACACCTGTAACTGCACCTGTACAGAGAGCGTGTGTGGACAGGAGGCCTCACTCTGACAACACCTGTAACTGCACCTGTACAGAGAGCGTGTGTGGACAGGACGCCTTACTCTGACAACACCTGTAACTGCACCTGCACAGAGAGCGTGTGTGGACAGGAGGCCTCACTCTGACAACACCTGTAACTGCACCTGTACAGAGAGCGTGTGTGGACAGGACGCCTCACTCTGACAACACCTGTAACTGCACCTGCACAGAGAGCGTGTGTGGACAGGAGGCCCTCACTCTGACAACACCTGTAACTGCACCTGTACAGAGAGCGTGTGTGGACAGGAGGCATCACTCTGACAACACCCGTAACTGCACCTGTACAGAGAGCGTGTGTGGACAGGAGGCCTCACTGACAACACCTGTAACTGCACCTGTACAGAGAGCGTGTGTGGACAGGAGGCCTCACTGACAACACCTGTAACTGCACCTGCACAGAGAGCGTGTGTGGACAGGAGGCCTCACTCTGACAACACCCGTAACTGCACCTGTACAGAGAGCGTGTGTGGACAGGACGCCTCACTCTGACAACACCTGTAACTGCACCTGCACAGAGAGCGTGTGTGGACAGGACGCCTAACTCTGACAACACCTGTAACTGCACCTGCACAGAGAGCGTGTGTGGACAGGACGCCTCACTCTGACAACACCTGTAACTGCACCTGCACAGAGAGCGTGTGTGGACAGGAGGCCTCACTCGGACACCTTTTTGCCCAACCTGAGTGATTCTATCGATGCCAAATTCCGGTCAAACCATGGGAGCAGATTCCTCTCTCAATGTGGGCCTCCCTGAGGTTTGTCACTTCTTTTTCGACAGTTATTATTTGAGCTGTTTCTTGCCGATGCAGGAGGGTCTACGACCGTGACGATCTGGGACTTTCATGGACAGTATTAACAGTAATGGACATTGGACCAAAGGCTCCTCTGAGTTCATTACAGTTGTATTTTTTGTTTTTTGAACTGTTTCATTCTCTGATCTGTTGTTGAGTTTTGCAATGTTGTGAAGTCTTCAGAGAAAATGATTTTGGGCAATCACTTCATGTTCATCAACAACAGAGTGGGACCTCCACTAGGTCTATAGTAGCACCCAGACAACTCCTTTTGACCGCTTGTCCTCACCCCAAGCTCATGATGACTGTGTGAATGATATTAGAATATTCTCAACTTGGTACAAACTACTTTTACTTGAGTACATTCAGAACTCTTTCCATCACTGGTTTTTATTACAAAGTCTCAGTCGTAATAACATCCTTGTGTGAGCCAATTAATTATTCTAACATCAGAAGGTAAAAAAACAGGTGTATAAAAGCTGACACATAATTTCAAAACAAAATCATTTGTTAATCTCAGTAAAAAAAGTGTTAGGCACAAAGAAAACAAGGCGATAAAATGAATATACAGTAACATACTATACAAATATCCTCCTAGTGAGCCACAAAACGTCCTTTATAATAACACATTTATATAAAAACAAACTGTAGCACCGTACATACAACCGTAAACTCTCATTGCTTCTTTTGTCGTCATGCTGAAGTTGAAATGTTGTGTTTTAAAGGTTCACGAGCGAAATGGTAGAGTCTGTTCCTGGATCTGGACAGGCCTCCAGTCGGGCCAGTCGGCTCTGCTCCTGCGCGATGGCTTCGGCCGAGTGCTTGCACTTCTCCGAGCCGCACTGACACGTGAAGTACTTGCTCTTGATGTCCCAGAAGCGGTCTCCGTAGTCAAAACTAAAGAGAAAACATAAGAGATTCTTATTCGTCGCACAGTGGGGGAAATGTCAGTGTTGCAGCGCACAGACAAGACAGTAGTAAGACACACAGGGAGCACACAATATACACAGAATAGCTGCTAGCTAAGAAACATATTCTTAGCTAGCTGTAAATGCTTCAATATCAATCTTTAAAAATATCTCTAAATATAGATAGATAAAAACAACAATATGAGAGTGAATCTTACACCAGATTTGGATTGTTTTCCATATTTACACAGAGTTTATAGAGTTACTGTAGCTTTAAATCAGAGGTCAGGAAGCTGTGGCTCTTGACGACTGTGCCTGGATCTCAGACAAATCTTAAATAGGCCTTAATAGTAAGAATGTTTTAAATTTCTGCAGCATATTAAAGAAAATAATACATTCTGAGACTAATATTACACACTAAAAATATCAGACAAAAAAACACTATACGGCTCTCACAGAAATACACTTTAAAGTTTGCGTCTTCTTCCCGACCTCAGCTTTAATGGATGTGCAGATGGATAACTAGAGCAGGACATGTTTGTAGGAGCCAAGAGTCACATTTCTCAGATTTCCTTTATTAAGCCCCTTCTCGTCATATACGCTGATCCTCTCCGCCCATATCCACTGACACAACCCTCTTTTCAAAGCAGCTCCACACTGACGGCTGAATCTACAAAAGAAACTAGTGATCTCCCATTTAGCATCATTTCCTTAGTTGTTGCTTGACTTAGTTGTATTCGTGTCAGTTTCTTAGCCGTCAATATATGTGAAAACTTATAACTTTCTGTCTGAGAAGTAGTAGTAATGAAACCCAAACACCATGATTGGGGGAAGGGCCTAGTTTTTTCCTGTAGAGCAATGCGGCGAATGTGTGTATTTTTAATTTGTAAAACCTGCATCCTGCTCCTTTGTGATCCGCAGACACTGAGGTTCCTGCTTCCTGCTGTGTTTATGTGAACAGCCGTAGTTTATGCACATATTATTTGGACTCAAGTTTTAGCAGGGATGGGATGGGAGGCCGGTTTATCGTCTAACTAGATGGAATTTCCCAGAGTGGTTTGATCGTCACATCAACTGCTGACTAGTGCAACAGTTCAACATGAAAACATCCATGTGCGTCCTGTATGCGGACAAACTGCACTTTCTCTTCATATTCAGCTCATGTGGTTTGTATAGAGCTGCACTTGATAGTCCAGCAAGTACTAGAGAAGTTTGGTGGATTTTATGATACATAGTTCCGTGTATGGGGCGACAGTAGCTCAGTTGGTAGAGCATTGGCCTTAAGCCCAGAAGGTCGTGGGTTCAATTCCCACCTCTGCACCTTCTCCACCGACTCCCACTGATGACTGCTGTCGTTGTGTCCTTGGGCAAGACACTTAACCCCACTTTGCCCAAAAGCTCCCACTGAAAGATCAAGGCTATGCTCACACTCAGAGAGCAGCCGTCCTCCTGTGGACTCACCACCTGCAGAGGGTCAGTGAGGGGCTGGTGCTATGAGACTTGGGTGGCATCTCTGACTGCCACCCCCCTGACCCAGAAATGGATTAAAGGGTAGAAAATGGATGGATGGATGGAGTTCCGTGTATGTGTGTTTTAAAAGTCAGCCACCCCAGATTTTATAGTCCTAGATTTAAGGTCTGACACCTGTGGCTGGTTTTACTCTGACGATGCTGAAGTGTGTCCTCACCCGAGCTCCTGTCCGCTGAGAATGTCCCGTGAGCTGAAGAAGGCGATCCGCGGAAACCTCAGGTCCTGGTGCAGCATGAAGACCCGGACCGGGATCAGGTTTGGGTCACACAGGTGGTTAATGAACCGGCTGATGTTTCCATAGTAACGGGCGTCGATACAGTACACCTCCCCATCCTGAAGACGCAGAGGAAGGAAAGACGTTTATTTAAAGACTACTTATATTTGAATAATCTCTTCACACTTCCATAAAGTAATTGTTTATTTTAACACCAGGTTTTGTTCAAAGCCGTCCTCAAAAAATGTTATTCTATAAAATATATCCAATTATAGAATTTAATCTTTAAAGTAAAAACTAGTTTCTTTTCCAATTGTGAGGAGGGCGTAAAACTTTATAAAGACAAGCGCCGTGCTCACCCCCGCAGCTTCCTGATTGGTCAAAATACATACACTTCCTCCAGAGATTATTACTGGTCGTAGTTACGCCAAAGAGCGAGACTCTTTTAATGATATTATTGATGATAAATGTACGTAAAAGTACATGATCCCACAGAGACCGGCAAAACTGACTCAAAGATCTTAAAGTTGTATCTATTTCATCAGGATTCTCTGGATTTGTGAGAAAGTGAAGCAGCAGCTCTGACTGATTTGTATCTGTCTGTTGTGTTTTTGTGTAACTTTGCTGCCTCTTGAGCACGACTCCCTTCAAAAAGAGGTTCTTAATCTCAATGGGATTTTTCCAGGTTAAATAAAGGTTAAAAAAATAATAATAAAAAAATCAACATTAATCGGGTCACACCTTGTTGTCCAGGTCAAACAGATACGAGTCGTCTTCTCGGACATCGGCCTCTGCGTCTGAGATCAGCTCTCCCACATATCTGCACAGTTTCACGATTTCATGAAGACTGAAACACTAAAACATTCATCCACTGTTTTTTGAGCAACACATGAGATGAACTTACTCGCAGATGAAGCTTCCCTGAGGGATGTCCTGCAGCGCTCTCACCCCCCAGCCCATCTTCTCCGTCCTGTACAGCTGAAGACGCACTCTGGCACAACAGACAACAACAACACACTTAATACACAGAGAATCATAATCAAAGCACAATTCATATTATTTACAATGTATTATGTGTGTATTTAGGTTTAGCTTCATTCTTGACCTTGAGTATATTTATTTGCCATTTTATGATTCAGAATGCTCTATCCTTTCTTAAGTAGATTACACATGTATGATATTAGAGTATATATTTGGATTGCAGGTTTAATTAAATTATTGAAACAGCTCCATCAAGTGGTAGAAAGGAGAAATTACATTATTATTTGCTCGGAGGAATTTACAGTTTTCAATTTGCCAACAGTAGATCAGAGAATAGTTTGAAGGAATTGAAATAACCTTTATTTGTCCCACAGTGGGGAAATTTACAGAATCAGAAAAATAGGAGAATAATACAAAGGCCCAAGTGTAATTTATCCACAAGAAATCCCCAAAAAGTTTTAGAAGTTTTCAATTGCAGTCTCAGGATTCCACTTAAAAGACCAAATTATAAAAAGCAGTATTTGAACAGAAGGGGTGGGGGGACGTGTTTGTGCCAGAAGTAGCTCTTTTTGCATGAATGGAGCGGAAAATAGCTCTAGGTCAGCGTTTGATGCGGGAACATTAACCTATTTTTTGGGCTCAGATAGAACTGAACATCTGCTTCTTCTGTGATCCTTACTTGATTCCCGCCTGCACCACACGGTTCTTACACGTCCGATAACAAGAACAGGCCACGTTACATTCAAATATGAGAGGAGGCTCGATCTTATTGAACTCCTGTAGAAGCCGCTGGTCCTGGACAAAGACAAAGACACAGAAATGTAATAATAATAATAATATCATCAATGATAGACGAGACTTTATTAGCCCACTTTACCTTATCGTACCAGCAGCGAATACTGAGCTGTCCACAGAGGCAGTTACTGGAGGAGCAGTCGTCTGTGCAGCTGCAGTGCTACGACACAGGACAACAAATACATCTTTATATTTCAGAATCAGAATCACAGAATCCGAATCAGAAAATCAGAGAACCAGAGAATCAAAATCAGGGAATCAGAAAATCAGGATCAGGGAATCAGGGAATCAGGGAATCAGAATCAGGGAATCAGAATCAGGGAATCAGAATCAGGGAATCAGAATCAGGGAATCAGAATCAGGGAATCAGAATCAGGGGATCAGAATCAGAGGATCAGAATCAGAGAATCAGAATCCTTTTTATTGCCATGTGAGCAACAGGCATAAATAAAAATCTACAAATATAACTGATTAAACTTGATCTTGTGAATCTTGACTATAGATTGATTATAGATCATATTGTGTTATACAGGGTGCTTTTTCCAAATTGCAATTCCAGACTTTTTAAAAACTTTTTTCCCCCCAAGACCTTAACTTTATAAGATAAGTGTTCCTTTATTTGTCCCACAGTGGGGAAATTGCAGCGCACATACAGGACCGTAGTAAGAGCACACCGGGAGCACACACAATATACAAAATAAGTAGTAGCTATGTGCAGAGTTATATACTGTACATACAGGGCAGGATAATACGTAGATAAAGTAAAGTGACATTGTTCTTATGTACTAGGCTAGTATTTAATGAACAAATGCATTATTCACGATGCCTTTGAGCGCACTGTAAAATTCTACCACACATTTTTTCCCCATACTTTATTTAGACTTCCACACAAAGTTCAAGACTTTTCAAGGTCTGGAAAACAGTGTTTCAAAAGGCCATACTTATGAAGACTTTAAAGACTTACACATGCAGCCTGGTTATGAATAAGTGGATACAGTGTCGTCGAGGTGTCACCTGTAAGTGCGTGATGTTGCGGTCGATGTTCATTGCTGAAGTTTCACAGTTTTCCGACACATATTTATAATCGGACGGACAGCCCTCGTCGTCCACAGCGTTCACACACGGGATGGGAACGTTCTCATAGCCCTGTGCTATGTCCCTGCATCAAAAAATAACTCATTTTAAAAGTCATACAAAGAAAATGGAAATAAATGTTCACAAAGATATTCATCAAACTGGAAGCTAAAACTCATAGTTCAATGTTCTACGGTTGATCTTTAGTGCTGTGACTTTTTAGGTGTTGTAACTGATACAATATTTTATCTCAGTTTGCCCAAGATAAAGCTGAAGTGGACATTCTAATAAACTTCATCATTATATAAAAGAGACATTTACACAATTTATACTATTTTTCCTGCAATTTCTTCCCTGTCTGTGTTAAAATATATGTCGAGTTTGTATTAAGAGCAGGTGACAATTTGTACCAGGACTGAACCAGGACTGAACCAGGACTGAACCAGGACGGAACCAGGACTGAACCAGGACTGAACCAGGACTGAACCAGGACGGAACCAGGACGGAACCAGGACGGAACCAGGACTGAACCAGGACTGAACCAGGACTGAACCAGGACGGAACCAGGACGGAACCAGGACTGAACCAGGACTGAACCAGGACTGAACCAGGACTGAAACAACACTGAACCCTTGACTGAACCGGGGCCGAGCCGGGCCTCATGTATCGCAGATCTTATGGTCCTTACGTGCAGACAATCTTCTCCGTGCGCAGCATGCGGTTGGCGATCCCTCGTTGTATCTTGCGGTTGATCTGCAGAGCGACCCAGACCGGCGTGTCCACTCGGGCCAACGTCAGCGGCGTCTCCCCTTCTCTGTTGATGACGTCGATGTCGGCGCCACGCGACAGAAACAACCTGAACACAGACAGGATGTGATGTCACATGACAGAAACAACCTGAACACAGACAGGATGTGATGTCACATGACAGAAACAACCTGAACACAGACAGGATGTGATGTCACATGACAGAAACAACCTGAACACAGACAGGATGTGATGTCACATGACAGAAACAACCTGAACACAGACAGGATGTGATGTCACATGACAGAAACAACCTGAACACAGACAGGATGTGATGTCACATGACAGAAACAACCTGAGCACAGACAGGATGTGATGTCACGTGACAGAAACAACCTGAACACAGACAGGATGTGATGTCACGTGACAGAAACAACCTGAGCACAGACAGGATGTGATGTCACATGACAGAAACAACCTGAACACAGACAGGATGTGATGTCACATGACAGAAACAACCTGAGCACAGACAGGATGTGATGTCACATGACAGAAACAACCTGAACACAGACAGGATGTGATGTCACATGGCAAGGCAAGGCAAGGCAAGTTTATTTATATAGCACAATTCATACACAAGGCAATTCAAAGTGCTGAACAAAACAAGAAAGCATTAAAATCATAAATTATCACAGAACATTAAAAAGAAAGATAAAAATATAAAATCCCTCAGTTGTATGCACAGTTAAACAGAACCGTCTTTAACCTGGTTTTAAACATTGTCAGAGAGGAGGCCTGTCTCACATCTTCAGGAAGACTGTTCCAGATTTTAGCAGCATTAATCTGAAAAGCAGCCTCCCCATGTTTAGTTCTGACTCTGGGCACTAACAGGAGTCCAGTCCCTGTGCTCCTCAGAGTCCGGGCTGGTTCATATGGGACTAACATGTCACTAATATATTTTGGTGCGAGGCTATGGAGAGACTTGTACACAAGCAGAGCTGTTTTAAAGTCTATTCTCTGAGCCACAGGAAGCCAGTGCAGGGACCTGAGGACTGGACTAATGTGGTCGTACTTCCTGGTTCTTGTCAGGACTCGAGCTGCTGCATTTTGAATGTACTGCAGCTGTTTTACAGCCTGTTTGGACAGACCTGTGAGCAGGCCATTGCAGTAGTCTAACCTACTGGAGACAAATGCATGGATAAGAATCTCCAAGTCTGCTTTAGACACTATGTTTTTGATCCTGGCAATGTTTTTTAGATGGTAAAAAGCTGCTGATGTTACTGATTTGATGTGGCTATTAAAATTTAAGTCTGAGTCCAGTATTACCCCTAGATTTCTGACCTTGTTTGAAGGTTTTAGGGAGAGAGACTGTAGGTGACAGATGACGCTCTCTCTTTGTTTCTGGGGACCAAAGACAATCATTTCAGTTTTGTCTGCGTTTAGCTGAAGGAAGTTGTTTTGCATCCACTCACTGATCTGTTGGATACAGTGAAGGAGTGAGTCCACTGGTCCATGTTCTCCTGCAGTCAGTGAGACATAGATCTGAGTGTCGTCTGCATAGTTATGATAGGAAACTTTGTTTCTGCGTATTAACTGACCTAACGGCAGCATGTAGAGATTGAACAGAAGAGGTCCCAGGATCGACCCCTGTGGGACTCCACAGGTCCGGGCCATATGATCTGAGACACAGTTTCCAATCTCCACAAAGTACTTCCTGTCTTCAAGGTAAGACCTAAACCAACTTAGGGCGGTGCCAGTGACGCCAACCCAGTCCTCTAGTCTCTGTAAGAGGATCTCATGGTCGACGGTGTCAAAGGCAGCACTTAGATCTAACAAGATTAAGATTGAGACTTTGCCTGCGTCAGTGTTCAGCCGGATATCGTTTGTAACCTTAACGAGAGCAGTCTCAGTGCTGTGGTGGGGTCTAAAGCCGGACTGAAACATATCAAATGAGTTGTTGATTATAAGAAATCTAGTAAGCTGTAGGTAGACAACTTTCTCAAGGACTTTCCCCATAAATGGCAGATTTGAGATGGGACGATAGTTGTTAAGTACAGTGGCATCCAGACTGCTCTTTTTTAGCAGGGGCCTGATGACTGCAGTTTTCAGGGCCTTTGGGAATATTCCAGAATGAAGGGACATGTTTACTATCTGTGTGAGTGAAGGTAACAGACTGCTCAGAACAGACTTCAGAAATCTAGTGGGTAGTACATCCAGGCTGCATGTGGAGGAGCTCAAACTGGAGATTATCTCTTGGACAGTTTTATCATTTACAGGTGCAAAGTGAGTTAGCTCAGAGAGCCTTTCTGGCTGTTGGATGGTTATCTGTGGATTGGAGACAATGGCGCTTTTGATGCCTTGAACCTTGTCATTGAAAAAATTAGCAAACTCATTGCATTTACGTTTGGAAGTAAGCTCTAATGGCATTTGAACAGGGGGGTTTGTTAATCTATTAACTGTTGAGAACAGAACACGCAGATTGTTGCTGCAGCCTTCAATCATTTCAGAAAAATACCTTTCTCTCGTACTACGTAGCACCCGGTTAAACTCGCACAACTTATCTTTGAAGATCTCGTAATCTACCTGGAGGTTGGACTTGCGCCACTTCCGCTCGGCCCTCCGGCACTTTCTCTTTTGTGCCCTGACCGAGTCTGCTTTAGCCCACGGCGCCTTCTGCTTATTTTTCACTATTTTAACCTTCACAGGGCAACGATGGTATCCAGAACATTCAAAACACTAGAGGTGACAGAGTTAAACAGTTCATCTACAGTAGAATACGATGCATTCTCAAAGTTTATCATTTCCATAAATAGTTCACTCGTATTTTCATTTATGCGCCTTCTTCGAACAGTTGCAGAGTCCACTGGTGGTTTGTTAGTGAAACACATGTCAAAAAAAACACAGAAATGATCCGAAAGAGCAACATCGACCACGTTTACATTTGAAATAATCACCCCCTTTGTAACTAACAGATCTAGAGTGTGCCCTCTGCTGTGGGTGGGGCCACATACGTGCTGAGTGAGATCAAAGGATTCAAGTACAGAACTCAGCTCATTTGCATTTCTGTCATCAACATTATCCACATGAATATTAAAATCACCTGTAATAACCAAACTATCAAAATCTGTGCATACAACTGAAAGCAACTCGGTAAAATGATCAATAAAACTGTGACATGACTGCGGTGGCTTGTATAGGACAACGAAGAGTATTGGAGGAGATTGTTTTTGTTGTATTTTAAAAGACACATATTCAAATGACGAAAACTTCCCAAGAGACATTCTATGGGAGACAAAGTGGTCTCTAAAAATGGCAGCTAAGCCTCCTCCTTTTTTGTTTTCCCGTATTTCAGATTCAAACTTGAAATTTGGTGATGATGCTTCTATTAAAACTGCATTTTCTGAATTTTGGTCAAGCCAAGTTTCAGCCATGAACATAAGATCAAGATTATGAGAAGAAATAAAATTATTGATTAAAAAAGACTTGTTACAAAGAGATCTGACATTAAGCGTAGCAAGTTTCAAAGTTTCAGTATCAGCGGTTGCGGTCGGCTGATTCTTACACGGAACAAGAATTAGATTTTCCAGATTAGACTGATTAACTCCAGATGTTTTTCTGTAATGTATTCTTTGTGTTATCACTAAGGGAATGGCACAGGTGGCTTCATGACAGGGCCCCAGCCGGGTCTCTCCTCTAACTAGACTGCCAGTGGCTGCGAAGCAGAGACCCTGTGCATCCTAGTGTTTAGAGAAAAGAGGGGTAGGGGAAGGCGGGGGAGGAGGATGGAGAGGTGGGTGGCTTTTGGGTGTTGAACGAGGGGGGCAGGGAGGTGGAGGGGTTTTAGGTGATGGGTTAGGGCCGGGGTGGGCTGAGGCAGAGGTTTTGGGTGTTGAACGAGGGGGAAGTGGGGGTGGAATGGTCATGAGGTTAGGGGAGGGACTGGCTGAGGTGGTTTTTGTAGGTGAATTGGAAACCCTAGGTGGTTTTGGAGGTACATATGGGGAGTGGTTTAGCATGTTGGACAGGACTCTAGATCGAGCTAATATGGGTGTGAGAGGAATAGTCTTCATTGCCGATTTTATTAGCCCTGCAGAGTGTTCAGGTAGGTCTAACAGTGAAGGCGGGGATGAAAAACAAAGGGAGGTGTCCCCATTCTCTCTTGATGGAGTGGACGTGGCAGGGGGGACCCAAGACAGGTCCTTGGGAGGTGGCGAGGGAGTCTTTAATGGAGGGGCAGGTGGTTGAGGAAACCCCAGCACAGGCCTGTCTGCTGTAGGCTGGGGTGAGGATTGGGGCTCCAGAGGCGCTGTAGATGAAGAAGGCGTGGCTGCTTTGGAGCAGGCTGGGGATGAGGATGGTGGTGGTGGTCGTGCTGCTGGTGCTGCTACTGGTGATGATGCAGCTGCTGCTGGTGATGATGCAGCTGCTACTGGTGATGATGCAGCTGCTGCTGGTGATGATGCAGCTGCTGCTGGTAATGATGCAGCTGCTGCTGGTGATGATGCAGCTGCTGCTGGTGATGATGCAGCTGCTGCTGGTGATGATGCAGCTGCTTGGTATGATGCAGCTGCTGCTGCTGTGATGCAGCGCTGCTGGTGATGATGCAGCTGCTGCTGTGAGCAGTGGTGATGATGCAGCTGCTTCTGATGACAGTGGAGGTGTTGAGATCCTTCGAGGTGGTTGTGGTGTTGAGATCCTTTGAGGTGGTGGTGGTGTTGAGATCCTTCGAGGTGGTGGTGGTGTTGAGATCCTTCGAGGTGGTGGAGGTGCAGAGACTTTTGGAGTCGGCTTCCTCCCTTTCGATGGCTGCACGCGCTGCGCAGGCTGAGATCTCAGGGCAAAAGAAAGGTTATCCATCAGCACTTTTACTCCGTAAGTGTTCAGATGTGGCCCTTTCCCTTCAAAAAGCTCATGCCTATTCCAGAACAGATTAAAATTCTCAATGAAGGCAAGTCCTCTGCGTGAACATTCGTTGAGTAGGAAAGTATTTAGCTGATACAGACGACTGAATTTCATTTGCTTCCCGTCCACATTTGGTAGTGGGCCACTGATAACAATTGTTGTGTCCATTTTAGCAAGGTCGTCCAATAAGAGAAAGTAATCCCATTTCAACTTTTCACTTGTGTTGTCATAGACCGTCTACTGCCCCACGTGGATCAACAATCTTTTTACCCCGCCGGTCTCAGACAGAAGCCTCGGAGCCAACCGCCTTATCTCATCCACTTTGGCAGAGTGTACTGAGTGAACCTTGAGATTACGCATATTTACATTTCTTATCGCCAAATCCCCGATAAAGAGCGACTCAGCTGCATTTGACCTTGACTGAGACTGAGACTGGGACTGAGAGACTACTGCTGATTCATCTTCCAAAAGTGGTGAAAAGCGGTTTCTTGTAATTAAAGATTTTTGCTGTGGCATTATGACACTCTTGTTATCATTAGCTTTGCCTTGTTTTGGCTTGGCACCATATGTGTTCCAACAATTGTCTCTGTTGATTTTGGGAAATGAAATAGCGTCATCATAACTTACGTTTTGTCCATGTGGTCCATTTCCTTTCACTGGTATTGTTGTGTTCAGCCCCAATTCTGATTCAAGCACAAACATTCGGTCTTGAAGAAGTTTTAGCTCCTGTTTGAGTGAAAAACAGCCGTCGCAAAGTTTTGTTCTATTTTCCCGTCCTCCCGACATGCTGTAAGTTAGGTAAATTCCACCAGTCTTGTGTTGAAGTTTGTAAAAAGGAGTAATCCGTGTTTTGTGGAATAAAAATGTAAGCAAAAATGATTAAAGGAGATAAAAAAGCAGCAAGCGAGGAGCAGCAAGAGAATGCGACTGCTCTGTCCAGAGCAGGAAGAGAAGACATGACAGAAACAACCTGAACACAGACAGGATGTGATGTCACATGACAGAAACAACCTGAACACAGACAGGATGTGATGTCACATGACAGAAAGAAGAAGCAGGATTTCTTTTGACAGAACAAAGCTTGTATTTAGGCCCATCATCATTTATCATCTGTATTTTCCTTGTTTCCTTTTCTATCGTGAAGAATGGATGAATGGATGAGTGGATGAGTGGATGAATGGATTAGTGGATGAATGGATTAGTGGATTAGTGGATGATTGGATGAATGGATGAGTGGATGAGTGGATGAATGGATGAGTGGATGAGTGGATGAATGGATGAGTGGATGAATGGATGGATGAATGGATGAGTGGATGAATGGATGAGTGGATGAGTGGATGAATGGATGAGTGGATGAGTGGATGAATGGATGAATGGATGAGTGGATGAGTGGATGAATGGATGAGTGGATGAGTGGATGAATGGATTAGTGGATGAGTGGATGAGTGGATGAATGGATGAGTGGATGAGTGGATGAGTGGATGAATGGATGAGTGGATGAGTGGATGAGTGGATGAATGGATGAGTGGATGAGTGGATGAGTGGATGAATGGATGAGTGGATGAGTGGATGAATGGATGAGTGGATGAGTGGATGAATGGATGAATATTTTGCCTCTGTCTCATCTTAAGATCAGCTTTTTCAGACTGAAGAGTGAGACAGAGAGGACCACCCTTACTCAGCCAATCAGCTCTCAGCCCACATTCTCAAACAGTGACTCATAAAATGACTCAAAGTGATTTTTATGAGACAAAATGTAGCTATCTTTAATTCTGCAGTATATTCACCGTTGGGCTGGGCAATAAATCGAATTTGGGCAATTTATCGGCTTTTGAAAAAATCTAATTTGTGAAAAATGTGAAAATGGTGATGATACTGTGAGAGTTCCAGCAGCACAAGAATTTATAATTGCAATATCAGCACAGTCTGTACTTTTATAATACGTATTGGAGGAAACAAATAAAAAATAGTTTTGAAACTTCAATAATGAGCAGAAAGATCAAAACATATTATTAACAGCAAAGTCTGTCTTCTGTGACTTTAAAGTCGAAATCGAGATTTTACTTTTTTGCCACATCGCCCAGCCCTAATTCACCAAGAGATACAGTATTGTCCATCAACATTAGTTATAATCATTGTGTCCGGACTACAGGCTACTCATTCCAGATTATCACTAAAAATACATTTCACATTTGTATTCAGTAAAATCAGTAAAAACACAACATTTTCAGTAGAATTTAAATTAACATATTCATTTTTTGTCTTTGTGTGTGGCGTGTAAACAGTATGTATTGTTCAGTAAAGTAATAGGTAGATAAATGGGCAGAGTTTCACAATTTGAAAAGCTGTGGTCCCGAAAGTACCACTTTGAGCCCAACAATCTTTCTCTTTCAAAATAACTTGTGGAGATGAACAACACGACTGCGCTGAACTCTGCTCCAGTGGAAATCAGGGAAAACTCTGGCCTTGTTTTGTTCTCGTGGACCTGCCTCGCTTCCGTCTCATTCTTCCTTCAGTAACAGAATCCATCTTTAAACGCCACACTCACATGACGCAGTCCAAGTACCCCTCTCGGGCGGCGATGTGCAGCGGCGTGTCTCCGTGGACGTTCATGGACGCCAGCGAGCAGCCGGAGTTCAGCACCAGCTCCGCGATGTCCACGTTCCCAGCGTACGCCGCCCAGTGCAGGCACACGTTCAGCTCCTGCACAGGCGCACAAGAGACTGGGAAATTACAGAGTTTAAAAAGCCAAACATTCTGCAAAATCATTTTTTGGTGAGTCAAAAACCTCCATCCAAATGCACCTTTTTAAAACCTTGAATATAGCCTCATTCCCACTGCGCAAAAACATGGGAATGTATCATATCCAGACTAATTCATCCTCGCTGTGTGAAGGAGAGGTTCCGCAGGTCCTTCCTCCCTGCTGCTGTCAGACTGTACAACGAGAATGTGTGGGGAGTAGCGCCACAATCTTTGCCAGAGATTACATTTGCTAAACATTCGTCTTGCTCCGGCTTCAGTTTCTTGATAGAACCAGAACAGAATACTTTACTATCGCATTCTTCTCCAAACTACAACCTGCCCGTTCGGTGTAAACTCTTGACGTCACCCACAACTAACTACAACACCCGCCTCCCGCGCTCTCTGATTGGTCGGATGGAATTCTACCGTTCTACTGTAATCACAAACACAGGGACCAGACCCAGACGTTACAGGCAGGACATGATGAATGAGCGAAGAGTACGGATGGATAAGACCAGGCTAGTTTGGATGGATGTGTTTCTGTTGCTGCTGGACACCTGCATTTCTCCTTCAGGGATCACCAAAGTATCTGTCTATATTGATAAAGAGTCTTTGAGTATATAAGAACGATGAATTATAATCCTCATTATTAGAGAGAGACTTAAAGCTGAGTAACCTTGTCATTAATGGTGACATCAGCTCCTCTGTTCAGCAGAGACTTGATCACTTTCACGTGTTTGTGCTCCGCTGCCCAAATGATGGGAGTCCAACCACCACTGTCCTGAAAAGAGAGAGACTTAAAGCTGATCCAGCAAAGAAAATGTAGAAATAAAAGTGTCCATACTTTTACCTGCGCATTGACGTCGACCTGCCCCGTCTCCAGGAGCAAGTTTACGATTTCTAAGCTTCCGAGTTTTGCCGCGTGGTGCAGTCCAGTGTATCCATCATCCTCCTATAAAAAATATATACTTGTATAATATTACATCATGTGCAGAGTTTCCGATGCCCTGAACACACTGCAAAAATGAGAAAATATCAAGATTCAAGTAAAACCACAATATGAGGTGATATTTGCTTGAATCGAGTGGGTTTTTACCCCTATTTGAAACATTCTAACAGTCTTAAAACAAGATTTTCCAACGGGACAAAGCCATTTAGTTTATTCCAAGGGAGATATTTATTGTATCTTTTTAAAACAAGATAATGTTCCCATTGGCAAATCTTGTTTTAAGGCAGTCAGAATGTGCTCAAATTAAGACTGAATTAAAGTTTTGCCAATTTGAGCAATTTCTGACATTTTTCATCACTTTTTGCAGTGCATTATAATCGCGGTTTTACATTTTTCAAGTTAAATTCTCACAAATCTATAAACGAGCCACGGTTCTGTGAGTCGGGCTGATACGATTGAGGTTTACTTTTCTCCGGATCCTCTGACTACATTTTATTTTCTGAATCTGCGACAAATTTGGACTTTTCCCAATCACGCTTCTGCTGATGTTGCTGTGTACTGTCCCTAAACAAACACTCTAAAAACCCAGGACTGTTTTTCATGCTGTTGAAATGTGATATTAAAGGTGTCTGAGTAACGCTGACCACGTGGTAGACGCAGGCCCCGCTCTGCACCAGGAACCGCGTCACTTCCAGGTGATTGTTGATGATGGCTTCTAACAACGGCGTCCGCTGCTCCTTGTCCTGCGCATCCACCCGAGCCCCCGCCTGGACCAGGAAGATAAACACCACAATCAGGCACGTTCGGAAATGAGATTTGGCAAGAACAGAAGCGTTTGATGGAAGATTAAGACCAGAACTAAGGATTCAGGGGGAGGGACTTCTTTATTCGGCTGTAACGACAGCGACCATGACGTTAGAATTTCCCCACTTTTGGACCAATAAGGAATTATCTTATTGTGAAATACTGGGGATCAGTCACCGTCAGCCCAAATGACCACCACCATTCACTTGAATAGACAGAACAGGCCTCTGAAGCTAAGCAGGGTATAGCCTGGTTAGTTCTGTGATGGGAGACCTTTGGGAACACCAGCTGTGGGGCGGTGTCATCGTGTCCTTAGGCAAGACACTTCACTAGGGCTGAAACAACTAATCGATTAATCGACGACTAATCGATTATTGAAATAGTCGACAACTATTTTAGTAATCGATTAATCGTTTTCTGGTTCACACGGACTCAGAGCAAAAATGACATGAAAATGTAGTATTTTTGATTAAAACCGACTTTGTTTTTATAATTTCATGAATATCTGTCTGTCTCATCCAATCAGAGCAGAATTAGCACAAAGAGCCTGTTACAAACATTTACTTTAAGTTTACGCCATCAATATGTCCTCGAGTGTTGCCACTTTAGCTTTTTGTGATGAAAAAAAAAAATTTCTCTACACAATTCACAGCCAAGCGATTACTCGATTAATTGTAAAAATAATCAATTAATCTATCGATTACAAAATAATCGTTAGTTGCAGCTCTACACTTCACCCACATTGTAAAAAAAAAAAAAAAAATCTATCCATCCATTTTCTTCCCCTTAATCCATTTCTGGGTCGGGGAGAGGGTGGCAGTCACAGCACCAGCCCCTCACTGATCCTCCTGCAGGTGCTGAGTCCACAGGAGCCTTGATCTTTCAGTGGGGGCTTCAGGCAAAGTGGGGTTAAGTGTCTTGCCCAAGGACAAAATGACAGCAGACATCAGTGGGAGTCGTGAAGTGGGTCTTGCAGTGGGCTCGAACCCACGACCTTCAGGCCAATGCTCTAGGCAAGGCAAGGCAAGGCAAGTTTATTTATATAGCACAATTCATACACAAGGCAATTCAAAGTGCTGAACAAAACAAGAAAGCATTAAAATCATAAATTATCACAGAACATTAAAAAGAAAGATAAAAATATAAAATCCCTCAGTTGTATGCACAGTTAAACAGAACCGTCTTTAACCTGGTTTTAAACATTGTCAGAGAGGAGGCCTGTCTCACATCTTCAGGAAGACTGTTCCAGATTTTAGCAGCATTAATCTGAAAAGCAGCCTCCCCATGTTTAGTTCTGACTCTGGGCACTAACAGGAGTCCAGTCCCTGTGCTCCTCAGAGTCCGGGCTGGTTTATATGGGACTAACATGTCACTAATATATTTTGGTGCGAGGCTATGGAGAGACTTGTACACAAGCGGAGCTGTTTTAAAGTCTATTCTCTGAGCCACAGGAAGCCAGTGCAGAGACCTGAGGACTGGACTAATGTGGTCGTACTTCCTGGTTCTTGTCAGGACTCGAGCTGCTGCATTTTGAATGTACTGCAGCTGTTTTACAGCCTGTTTGGACAGACCTGTGAGCAGGCCATTGCAGTAGTCTAACCTACTGGAGACAAATGCATGGATAAGAATCTCCAAGTCTGCTTTAGACACTATGTTTTTGATCCTGGCAATGTTTTTTAGATTGTAAAAAGCTGCTGATGTTACTGATTTGATGTGGCTATTAAAATTTAAGTCTGAGTCCAGTATTACCCCTAGATTTCTGACCTTGTTTGAAGGTTTTAGGGAGAGAGACTGTAGGTGACAGATGACGCTCTCTCTTTGTTTCTGGGGACCAAAGACAATCATTTCAGTTTTGTCTGCGTTTAGCTGAAGGAAGTTGTTTTGCATCCACTCACTGATCTGTTGGATACAGTGAAGGAGTGAGTCCACTGGTCCATGTTCTCCTGCAGTCAGTGAGACATAGATCTGAGTGTCGTCTGCATAGTTATGATAGGAAACTTTGTTTCTGCGTATTAACTGACCTAACGGCAGCATGTAGAGATTGAACAGAAGAGGTCCCAGGATCGACCCCTGTGGGACTCCACAGGTCAGGGCCATATGATCTGAGACACAGTTTCCAATCTCCACAAAGTACTTCCTGTCTTCAAGGTAAGACCTAAACCAACTTAGGGCGGTGCCAGTGACGCCAACCCAGTCCTCTAGTCTCTGTAAGAGGATCTCATGGTCGACGGTGTCAAAGGCAGCACTTAGATCTAACAAGATTAAGATTGAGACTTTGCCTGCGTCAGTGTTCAGCCGGATATCGTTTGTAACCTTAACGAGAGCAGTCTCAGTGCTGTGGTGGGGTCTAAAGCCGGACTGAAACATATCAAATGAGTTGTTGATTATAAGAAATCTAGTAAGCTGTAGGTAGACAACTTTCTCAAGGACTTTCCCCATAAATGGCAGATTTGAGATGGGACGATAGTTGTTAAGTACAGTGGCATCCAGACTGCTCTTTTTTAGCAGGGGCCTGATGACTGCAGTTTTCAGGGCCTTTGGGAATATTCCAGAATGAAGGGACATGTTTATTATCTGTGTGAGTGAAGGTAACAGACTGCTCAGAACAGACTTCAGAAATCTAGTGGGTAGTACATCCAGGCTGCATGTGGAGGAGCTCAAACTGGAGATTATCTCTTGGACAGTTTTATCATTTACAGGTGCAAAGTGAGTTAGCTCAGAGAGCCTTTCTGGCTGTTGGATGGTTATCTGTGGATTGGAGACAATGGCGCTTTTGATGCCTTGAACCTTGTCATTGAAAAAATTAGCAAACTCATTGCATTTACGTTTGGAAGTAAGCTCTAATGGCATTTGAACAGGGGGGTTTGTTAATCTATTAACTGTTGAGAACAGAACACGCAGATTGTTGCTGCAGCCTTCAATCATTTCAGAAAAAATACCTTTCTCTCGTACTACGTAGCACCCGGTTAAACTCGCACAACTTATCTTTGAAGATCTCGTAATCTACCTGGAGGTTGGACTTGCGCCACTTCCGCTCGGCCCTCCGGCACTTTCTCTTTTGTGCCCTGACCGAGTCTGCTTTAGCCCACGGCGCCTTCTGCTTATTTTTCACTATTTTAACCTTCACAGGGGCAACGGTATCCAGAACATTCAAAACACTAGAGGTGACAGAGTTAAACAGTTCATCTACAGTAGAATACGATGCATTCTCAAAGTTTATCATTTCCATAAATAGTTCACTCGTATTTTCATTTATGCGCCTTCTTCGAACAGTTGCAGAGTCCACTGGTGGTTTGTTAGTGAAACACATGTCAAAAAAAACACAGAAATGATCCGAAAGAGCAACATCGACCATGTTTACATTTGAAATAATCACCCCCTTTGTAACTAACAGATCTAGAGTGTGCCCTCTGCTGTGGGTGGGGCCACTTACGTGCTGAGTGAGATCAAAGGATTCAAGTACAGAACTCAGCTCATTTGCATTTCTGTCATCAACATTATCCACATGAATATTAAAATCACCTGTAATAACCAAACTATCAAAATCTGTGCATACAACTGAAAGCAACTCGGTAAAATGATCAATAAAACTGTGACATGACTGCGGTGGCTTGTATAGGACAACGAAGAGTATTGGAGGAGATTGTTTTTGTTGTATTTTAAAAGACACATATTCAAATGACGAAAACTTCCCAAGAGACATTCTATGGGAGACAAAGTGGTCTCTAAAAATGGCAGCTAAGCCTCCTCCTTTTTTGTTTTCCCGTATTTCAGATTCAAACTTGAAATTTGGTGGTGATGCTTCTATTAAAACTGCATTTTCTGAATTTTGGTCAAGCCAAGTTTCAGCCATGAACATAAGATCAAGATTATGAGAAGAAATAAAATTATTGATTAAAAAAGACTTGTTACAAAGAGATCTGACATTAAGCGTAGCAAGTTTCAAAGTTTCAGTATCAGCGGTTGCGGTCGGCTGATTCTTACACGGAACAAGAATTAGATTTTCCAGATTAGAATGATTAACTCCAGATGTTTTTCTGTAATGTATTCTTTGTGTTATCACTAAGGGAATGGCACAGGTGGCTTCATGACAGGGCCCCAGCCGGGTCTCTCCTCTAACTAGACTGCCAGTGGCTGCGAAGCAGAGACCCTGTGCATCCTAGTGTTTAGAGAAAAGAGGGGTAGGGGAAGGCGGGGGAGGAGGATGGAGAGGTGGGTGGCTTTTGGGTGTTGAACGAGGGGGGCAGGGAGGTGGAGGGGTTTTAGGTGATGGGTTAGGGCCGGGGTGGGCTGAGGGGGCCTGAGGTGGGCTGAGGGTGGGCAACTGAGCTACTGTTCTACCAGTTGGTGGTGGTGGGAGGGGTCGATGGTACAGACTGGTTGCCTCGCTTCTGTCAGTGTGCCCCAGGGCAGCTGTGGCTACAGTAGTAGTTTATCACCACAGTGTTTAGAGTGAAAGAACAGTGACATGTGAAGCGTCTTTGAGTGTCCAAAAAGCGCTGTATAAAACTGATGCAATATTATTATTGTAGCTTCTGTGACGTCACCTGCACCAGGATGTAGCAGACCTCCAGCAGACCCCTCTGAGCCGCCGCGTGAAGAGCCGAGCGCCGGTTCTGAGAGTCGGGCTGATACGTGGGGTCGATGCCCTCCACTGAAACACACACAATAACAACAATAAATAAACATGTTGTAATAAATGTGGAACCGTGGAGTGTTGTGAGACTGACTGAGCATGAGCAGCACCCTCTGCACCTCGCCCTGTTTGGCCGCAGGGTAGAGCTGACGCGGGTGGAAACGCAGCTTCTTCTTCCTGTAAACAAGTTATAATAGGTTAGATATTGACTTTAGAGAAGAGAAGATGTTCTGCTCTCTTAGCAAATGTTTGATCAAGTGTTGGTAGAGTTTACAAAATGATGTTATCAAGATTACAAAGACAGGGTTTTTATGGCCTAATATTCTAATCTTTTAATTTAGTCTTTTATCTTTTTAAGAAACACTGAAAAATACATCCCAACAGACAACTTTCTTAACTATTTTGGCCCAGAACAAGCTTTTTG